CGGAAGTGCGCGGCGCGAGGGTTGAGGGGCGAGGGGAAAGGAGGGAGGGCGCCCCCAGTGGCGCCCAATGGGGTGGAAGCCGAGGAGGAGCGAGGCCGGGCGATCGGGACGCCGCCCTGTGGCCGACGACGGTTTTGCACCGCGCGGGCCTGCTTGGGCACCATCATCATCCCTTGGCTTAGTTTCCCAAAAATAAAAGCACTTCGCTGGGTTTTTTTTTATTTTTGCTGGAGATCATTGTGTGGCTCAGCTTCTGAATGGCACAAACGACAGGCAGGGTGTGTACATTTGTGTGTGTTCCTGCATCCCCTCTAGCTCCCCACCACCACCACGATGCTGGAAGGTACGATCCAGGTAACACAGAAAGCAGGGCCAGTTGGGCATGAGGAGGCAGGAGAACTAGGTAAACTCACAAAAGGGAGTCTTTCGTGAGCAACCATTGGCCCTTCAGGATGATGGCCTTCCTGCCACATCAGCCAAGAAAGCCACCCGGACCAAAAACAGCCATTCCTTGTGTTACAGGGCGACCGCCTCGTTACAGGAAACGAAGCATCTGTTCCAGCTCTGCATCTGGAGACCACAGGCACTTTTCCAGACAGGAGGGGCAGCACCAGAGAGCAACCAAGAGGCCTGGATCTGAGGCCCACCTGAGCACAAAGAGCATGGAAGAGATGCATGAATGTCATATCCGGGTACTTTGGAGAGGGAGCAGAGTCGTGCCATGAAATGGGGGTTTCTCTGGCATTGGGGGCTTTCCAATGCTCGAGCCACGCCCATCCTTCTTGGGCTGGGGGCTCAACTGGATGACCTTTGGGCAACACCTGCTAGCGCAACAGTTCTTCCTATTCCACCATTTTCTGAGGCAGTGCATCCGGGGATTCTGCTCACCAAATCCCAGCCAGCTCTGAAATTGCCGATGCCCTTTACTCTCGGGCAAGGCCAGGGAGCTGGGAAAAGGGTGAGGTCTCTGGACCCTCAGAATTCAGAGGGAGGGAGGGAGGGGGTGACGTCCAGGGAGGCCTGGCTAAGGGACCACACGTTCAACCAGACAGAAAGATAATAACACCTAAACAACCTTTATTGAACGGTCACTATGAAACAGAAGATGAAGCGGTGAGTAGGGAGAGTGGAAAGGGACAGAAAAAGGAGGTCGGTCCACGAACACGCTGGGCTTCCCATCCTGCCAAACATCCTTTGAACAACGGCACTTCGCGGGCCTCGTTAAGCCACCGGCTCACAGGTGTCGGGAGGAAAGGGGTGGCCCATACTTGCCCAAAGAGCCATCGCTGGAGATCAAAAAGTCCCTGGAGGCAGGAGACGTTGCCTCGGGGAGAAAGTGAGGTGGATGAAGAAGGAACCCATCGGCACCCCCCAAAATAAGATGTCTCTGTTGTTTTCAGCAGGTTCTCTTCCGGCTTCTCCAACGGGCAAAGACGACACGGGTGAGATGGGAGCACCCCAGTAGCCAAAAGAACGACGGCATGCAGGGTCCTCCCAAGGCCATGATCCGTTTAACAACAAGAAGGCCGTTAAGATCCAGTAGCAGACACAGAAGTCAGGAGTGAGGCCACCATGGCCATCGTGCACCTCCTGGGGTCCCGGGAAGAGTGCAGCCGGAAGGCAGCCTTTCCTTCCTCAGTCGTGGTCTTCTCGCCAGCTGGCTGGAAAACAAGCAGAACCCTGAGTAGGAAGGAGAGAAGCGGCCCAGCGGGACGGCCGCCCCGGGAGCCAGGCTGAACTGAGAAGGAAATGGGGCCTCTTGACAGCTCTGCCCCAGACGAAATCCCGCCCCAGGCTTGTAATGGCACACGCGGACCCCTTTCTGCGTTTGGGGGAGCGAGCAGCAACGGCAGGGGCCCTGGGGGGCTTGGTCCCCAGCTGCAAAAGGAAGCTAGGAAGCGGCCTTCCACCCAGTGACCACCCTGGTCCGCGTGGGCCACTACGGTCCACTCTGGCTGGCAGACCAGGTTTCCCCCGGTCTGTCTTGCTCAGAATCAAAAAAAAGGCTGAGCTTGTTTAGGATGGCTGGGCTCACCCAGCGCTGGCTTGCCCGTTTCAGCCCGCGATTTTTAAGGTCTTGAAAAAGAGAGAAGAGGCTTTGCCAACCGGAAGCAGGAGCATCCTTTGAATGCAATGCGACACATGGATTTTGCCCCTGTATCACCCAACGAAATGCTGTCGTTTACGAGGTGTGGGCTGGGCCGACGGCCCCGTTTGCACTCAAAGGTGGCACCAGCAGTTTCTGCTGGGAAACCTCTTCCTTCACAACCCATGAGAGTCTAGCCAAGGGACCCTTCAAATGGTGCTTGTTGCCAACACAGGTTTGCCATTGGCTGTCGGGACTCGCACCGCCAAAGAACACACTGTTTGGAGTAGCCAGGTCTGGCCGGAGCTCTCCTGTACTTTTAAAAACAAAACGAACCAGGGAGAAAAGGACCATTCCAAAAAACTGAGACCCTCAGGCTCTGGGCTGCTCAAAACCTCCATAAGACCTAATTTGGGGGGGGGGGGAGACAAAAAACTTGTGGTACCACCCACAGCCTCACCTGACATGTGCTGACCACCACCATCCTGGAGGCGAGGGCCCAACTTGGAAAGGCGTGGTTTCCGACGCACGTAGTTAGGTCTGGGGCCTGGATGGAGGTTTTTGGGATTCAGGCTCGGTCCTTGGGCCAACTGTGGGAACTTCCGGATGATCTCCTTCAGAAGTTTCACTTTGTCTTCTGGAAAGAGCATTCCGCCGGCACTGCGCCCAGTCATTTCCGTTGACACACTCCTGAGGCGGGGGTTGATGGTCGCGAGGACCTCTGAGCGGCGCAGAACCAGCAGCCTCTGGTTGATGCTCCCGATGTAGCGGATGACGCGCCGAATCCACTCGCGCAGCTCCAGCGGATCCACCGCCTCCCCCTTCTCGACAGCTTCCTCGGCCATCTCGTAGATGGTCATGGCGGGCGCCAACATGTTCAGCACCTCGTCCTGGATAAAGCGGATCTGAGAAGTGGCGCGGGAAATGGTTTTTACTTGTTTCGCATTCAGCAAGCTGAGGAGGTTGGTGTTCAGTTCAGGGGTCTCCGAGGACCGGTCTGGCAAGGCAGGCCTTGGACAGGTGGACAGGAGGTATTCCCTCACCCTCTTCTTCAAAATAGACTGGCATTGGTTCCAGAAATCCACCACCTCCTCCCGCGGGACCCAAGAGACAGGGGCAATTTTGGGATGATCCCGACGGCCACCCAATTCTCCTGGGAAGCTCTCTGTAATGGTCCGGCCTTCCTTGGGGCTCCATTCTTCTCGGAAACTGGAGGGACCCTCTGAGTCTTCCAGGTCTTCGTCGGGGTTTGGAGGCATCCCAAGGCGTTCGCCTCCAGTCCAGCTCTCAGGCTCCTTTCCTCTCCGCTCTGGGCTGTCCCATGTGCTTTCGCCCTGGTCCCAACCCAGCTGGCTTGGGAGGCTGGAGCTGGCAGGATCCTCCAGGACCTCTGCCTGCGCGTGGCTTCCCCAGGGCCGTCGGACTCCAGCAGGACCCCCTTGGCCCCTTTCTCTGCTGGGATTGCGCCAACTCCCTTCCTCTCCAGGAAAGGTGGGGAAACCTCCTTGACTTCCCTCAGGAGCCCTCCGCCTCTCTGCGCTTCCACCCCTCCTCCTCGGGTGCTGGTCCTTCTCAAGGTAGCTCCACTCCTGGCCCCGATCCTGTCTCGCCTCCCCCCCTGGGGCTCCCCTGCTCCGGAAGCTGCTGGTGCTGCTGCTGGACCTCTCCACGTGGCGTCCGCCCATCATCCTTCCACTGGAGAGATGCTGCTGCTTCTGCTGCTGCTGTTTCTGATGCTGCCACTGCCGCCCTTCCTCCTCCTCCTGGCAGCTCCTCGGCTGCCCTTTGGCCCAGGCCCCCCCCTCCCTCCCGGGGCTGGCCCCCCACCTGCTGCTTCTCTCCGCCTCCCCCCTTCCTGAGACGGGGAAGAGGAGGCTGCTCCTGGAGGAGGCGGCGGGGCTGCGCCACGCCCTCTCCCGGGTGCCGCTAGGGGAAGGGCCTCTCCAGCCGGAGTCTGACCCCCGAGGGGGGCTCCTGCTCCGGGCCCTCCCTTGGGGGGGCTCCCAGGGTCCCATCCCGCCCTCCCGAGCGGGGAGGGGCTCCCTCCGAGGCCCCCCCCAAGGGGACCGGGACCTGCCCCCTCCTCGGACCTCCACCTCCTTTCCCCCCTCCCTCTCTTCCACCCCCCTACTTTCCGGCCAAGGCCCTCCCCGGCCCGTCCTCCCGTCCCGCCCGGAGGTCGCCCGGGGCCTTTCCCGCGACGCCCTTCTCTCCGAGGGCCTCCAGGTGGGGGGCCCAACCCCTCCCCACCCGACTTCCTCCTCCTCCTCTTCCGGGAAGGACCGCTTGCGCCGGGGACGGGCGTCGATGTCGTGGTCGCCGTAGCCCCACGACCCCCGAGGCGGAGACTCGCTCCGGCCGTAAGACGCCATAGCTCCTGCCGCGCGGGAAACCGCCGCCTCCCTCCCCGGAAGTCTCCCTCGCCACTTCCGCCCTGGACCGGAAGCGGCGTCCCGCGGCAACCGGTCCACCGCCCAATTCACTCCCCCGAGAACACAGAGCGGCTCAACTGCCTCTCGGTCCTTTTCTGAGACGTCGAGCAGAGCCGCTCTAGCCCTTCCCTCTCGTTCTCACAGTCCCCAATAACTGTACCTAGTCGCAATTCATTTCTTTCCTTACCGGAAGCAGCAACCTCCCTCACCGGAAGTATGCTCCTCTTTCCGCTCTCGGCCGGAAGCGGAGTCCCGTTTCCCCTGCAACCGGTGCATTGCCTAATTCCCTGCCCCAAGAGCAATCAATAATACGTAATGGTTTGAACCAGTCTCGCACCCCGACTTGCTTGCAGGGTGATGACTCTGCTGTTTCTTTAACCAAATTCCTCCCAACCTCGCGGATCTTTAACCCCATTGCTTGAGATTTCTGCTCCCCCCCCTCATATTCACCCCACGGGCTCTCGACCTCTGCAAGGCATTTAAAAAACCATCTTAAGAAAAACCACTCCTTGTCCGATTGCTCACTTCCCTCCAAAGCCCTCTGCAGGTCACTGCCGGCTGGTCCTTCACAGATAGAGTCCCCCTGGAGCTGGAGGTGCCCTCATAGCTACCCCTTTGGTTGGAGCAACCCTTCGACCTCCCTGCCCTTTAACAGCTGGGGAGACCCAGCAGGCCACCCGGCAGGTCCATGAAGCAAAGCCGCCAGTTCCTGCCTTTCCTCAACCCATCAAACAAGCAAGCAAGCAGCGCCTTTGTTACAAGTTTCCTTTTAATGTAATTCCCAAATACATCTGATATGACAATTGTACAGAAATCTTCCAAAACACAGGGTCTTTTTCTGGGGGATGTTTCTTCTGCTTTCGCCTTCTATTGCTGCAAGTCGGCCAATGCTCAGAGCGGAAAAGAAAATTCATCAAGTCCCGTCTCTGGAAAGCGCCGGCCAAGTGCTTTAGACAGCGGCTTTTCCAGACTAAAATGCACATTGGCTTTCTCTTGGCCGACCTGTTTCCAATCCAAACCGCCACATCCATAAATAGCTGCCAGAAAAAAAAAACTGGGTGGTTTTGTTAGGAACAGAAAAGAGTGCTATGGGAAGCTCTCTGAACATCCCTCTGAACATTAAACATCTCTGGAAAAATCCAGCCAGCTCTTGACCCCACAAGCCTTCTGGAGCCTCCTTCAAACGCCATTCACACATGCACAAGCGCACGCACCTACACACCTTACATGGATACACCTACCTTTTTCCAATCAGTGGTGTTTTCGGGAGTCAGTCCCGTCAAAGCACAATGGAAGCAAAAACCTTGCTTCCTGCTGACCAGATCACCTTTCCCCAAGACTCACCACCCGCCACTCAAGAGTTCATTGCGTCTTGCTGGCTGGTTTCCACGTAAACACTTCTATGAGGACACTGATGAGGAGAGAGAGTTAAGGGAATGTGCTCCATCGACAGAGGGCCAAGCAGCTTGGAAAAGGGATTCTTAGCCAGAATCCTCTTCAGTTAGGCCCGCAGAAAACCTTAAAAACTGTCCCACCTTTCATGCACCATCAGCCCAGGCTCTCTGTTGTTACAGTCCAACACCCTTGGGCCACAGTCTGTTGTTTCCCTGGACAGGCAGCGAGCAGCTGGAAAATCCTAAAAGCTCATTGCCTGGTTTTCCTTAACACATTACAAATAGGGACTGAGCCCCTGATCCTCTCTGACTGCTTCTGTTTGATCCTCTTTGGGTTTTCCATGACGGCGCTCTCCTCTTTATTCTTCTGCCAGAAAAGACTGTCACCCACCGTCACCCATCAACCCATTCCCAGCCTCGGACTGGTCTGCTTTCACCGTTTTGGACAGAAAGAGGCAAAGCAGAGGGTAGTTTTCTCCACAGGGGCACAAGCCTGGTTCCCTGGTCCTTCCAAAAGGATTTTTCAGTGGACGTGAGGCTCACCAAAGAATCCAGAAAAGACTGCTCCACTCACAGCCATGGAGGTCTGACATCTTTGGGGGAAGCAGGGCAGGGCAGCCGCTGGTTCGGCTCTTTGCCAGACAGCTACAGTGAGTTGTTTCTAGCGTCACATTCACCAAAGAAGACGCTAATGTTCTGGACCTATTGTCATCACCCGGATGAAGTGGGGCAGCCACTCTTAGCAGGAGAATATATATATCTCATATATATATGTTTGAATGATCACCCCACCCACCCCCGGGCACTTGGCACAGCCGATTTTTTTAAATGCACGGGCCAGCTGGGTGCAGCAAATTTAGGAAAATCTAAGACAGGAAATAATGCTCCCCTGAAAAGGAAACACTCGGGAGTTAGTGTCAATTTCAGCAGTTGGTCCAAATCAGCAGACCAGTCTCCTTCCCAACGCACCGCCAATTACCATTTTTCAAAAGAAGGTAGCTGATTCCTTATATATATGTGTGTATGTATAATATATATATATAGATATATATATATAGTGGCTTTCCTGTACCTTAAATAATAACAGAAAGAGAACAGTACAAAACAGAAGGAGGCCCCCTTGCATGACACCAGTTACCTTCTTCAAAACTAATTTTTCTTTAAAAAAAAAGTTATCATCACGATAAAAGTCTTCAAACAAGAACAAGAACTATCACCAGAGAGAGGAAGGAGCTGTTAGCAAGAACGCTTTCCTACTCCAGTTTTAAGTCTTCCCCTCCCCACAAAAAATTAGCAAACGGCTTCCCGCTCGGAGACAGGACCTTGTGTTCTTCTTGTCGAATTCCTTCAACCTCCGTGAGAAACAGATAACTTAAAAAAAAGGCTCCAGCAAGACACCTGCCCAATGTTGGCACAGGTCTGCTGGGGTGGGTGGGATGAGGAGAAAACTTTCCCCCCCCCAAGAATGAGGTCCTCCAGCTGATATCCAGGAAAATCAAACACCTTGCATGGGGAGGAAGAACCAAGAGAAGTACTTGAAAATAAGATTTCAAGAGAGGGGGAAATAAGAATTTGAGGAAGGGCTGAATCGAATATTCCACGGTGGGGACCCATGAGCTACCGGAGACGAGCATGAGGCGGGCAGACGAGCATGAGGCGGGCAGACAGCAGAGAGCGTCTGCCTCAGAGCAGGAGGTCCCCAGGCCAGCAGCGGCTGTGCTTCTCCATGTGCCTGGGCTTCCACAACGAATCAGGTGTGGGCAGAGGGGGTGTGGCGCAAGGAAATGGCGTTTTCCGTTTTCCCCGCTCATCAATATGATGAGCGTTTTTTTAAAAAAAGTCCCAAAACCACCTCCAGCCAGTTTTGTCCAAAGTCCGCTGTGTTGAGTTTCTGCTTGGTTTTAATATGGAATCGGCTGGTTCGGCCCCTTCCCCCCTCCCCACCCCAAAAAGTCCAACACACCAGGGGGAGAGAGGGGAAAAATTAAAAAGGGACGAGAACAAAGGACGCAGAGTTTCGTTTTCCCCACAAATCTCGGAGCCTCCGCGGCTGTCCAGAGCAAGAGTCGGCCTGGGGCGGGTGTCCCCGCAGAGGGTGTCGGGGGCGGCTCTTGCCGGGGAGCCAAACGTGGCTGCTATGTGCTGCTGGGTGCTTGACCAACTCCTTCGTCGGTGGGACCTGCGGAGGAAAAGAAGGGGCTCAGAGGAGGTTCCTCCAGTTCCATGGAAGGAAATCCCGACAGAGAAGGAGCCCAGGGGAGTTAAGATGGACTTTGACAAGCTGTTTGGCTACTCCTGTGAGATTTAAATAAGAGAGGAAGGGGGGCAGCTCATTCTGGGGTTTTGGGGGGAGGGTTAGTCAGCAGTCGCTTCACAAGATACACAGCCTCTGGTTTCTTCTGCTGCAGCAAAACTGACCTGCTAGCCAGCCATAAAAATCCTACCTCGGTGCAGCCCCTTTGGGTCCTACTCTAGGCTGTGAAGTCCCCAAAGCCGAGGCCCTGGCCTCTAGCACAGAGAAGGGAGCTGGATCTGTCCTACTGTGGCCGGCACAGGCCTGGAACAGTTCTACAGAGAAGCAGGAAGGGCTCGAAAGAGACAGCCCGGAAGGGAGAGGCTTGACATCCCTCTCCGGGTTCAGAACATCATGGGCAGCCACACCCCGGGAAACCACTCACCGCTTCCAGGCGATCCTGAAGGAGCCAGAACATCGTCGTCACTGTCTTCCTCGTTGGACTGGGCCACTTCGGGCTCCGGGGCAGCGCTTTTGGCCTCCTGCTCTTGCTCCACCCGGCTCCTCAAGGCCAGGATCCGGTGGTGTAAGGCGGCGTACAGCTGCCCGGTGTCTTTTGAACTGGCCTGCGGGAGTTCAGAGAAGAACGGTTTGGTGCATTTATGGATCAGGCAGCCTGGGACTCCTCAAGGAGGCCGACAGTGAAATGCAGCGACAAAAACAACAACAACCCGGTCTGTTGCGATGGGGGCAGAAACGGACACATCCCAGTTCACCCCAGTGGGGGCATCCAACTAGGCCACAGCCCACCTGGTGTTTCCTTAAAAATATGCACTAAGGGAATCTGACAAAAGCCTTCACAAAGGGATGCAGGCTTTGTGTTCTCCACAATAAACCCTACACATGTTTCCTCGGAAGCAAGCCGCCTTTCTGTCGCCTTTTTAAAAAAAAATAGAATTTTCTTGCACCATTTTAAAGAAGGCATCCGTGTTGACCGACGTGCAATTTCTGTAAATAGGAACTGATTGCCACGCTTTGCAGCAGGCCATTCCACAATAAAAGTGAGCTCTGCTCCTTGTGCCCCCTCCCCCGGTTCACGTGTGAGACAGCAACTCAAGCCGGCTTCCTTCCCTGGGGAAAACTGAGAATGCCGCCCCTCCTTTCTTACCGATATGAGGAACACTTTGACCCCCTGGTCTTCCGTGTCCATGGCGGTGATGCGGATGCTCTTCTCGCTGGCTTTATCGATCTGCATCTGAGCCCAGAGCTTGGTGTTCAAGATTAGCCGTAGACTGCCCTGCGTTCTCATTACTGCATGGGGAGAAAAAAGAAAGACAGGTCCTTTGGTCTGGGACTCCCACCTTTGAAGGTGTCCCAACAAGACCTGCTGAAATGTTCCCGAGGGTCACTGCTGAGCAGCTCCGGGAGCCCCGCAGTGGCACCCAGTGAGGAGCTGCAGCTGGGTTGGGGGGGGAGAACCTGACTAGAGATCCAAAACTCTGCAACGCCCCCTTGCCTTCCAGGGGGGTCAAAATGCCAGGAAAGGACACAAGGGCACCTCTCTGGCTCCACCTGGGCTTGGGCTGGGGGAGCCACCCACGTTTACCTAGGCGTGACTGCAGCGTCCCATCATCCGTGGAGGCCATGTCGTTCAGCCTCAGCAGGCCCCGGCCTCTTTCCACCCAGGACTGGGAGTTCTTGTCGAAGACAAATAGCTTGCATTGGATCTGAAAGAACAGGCGCGGCGGGAGGACTCTCAACAAAGGCAGCTACAAGCCGCCAAAGGCAAGCCGATAGGCAACAAGGGAAAACAACTGCAGCTCAAGGCTGGGGAGGCCGTTTCTGACACCGTAGGGCCTCGCCCCATAGTTGCGGGGATGGGTTCCAAGCCTTCCCGGCGGATGCTGAAAACCACAGATAGCAGAAAACACCATCCGTATACCACAGTAAAAGGAAAAAAATCCAATGTATGACTGGAATTGGCCACGAGAGGGAGTTGGAAGCCACGCTACGGATTCTCAACCACAGATCCTGATCCTGTAGATAAGGGAGTCCAACGGTTTTACTCTGCATGGACCTCTCTGGTGAGAGATACTCCTTGTCCAAAGGGGAGGGAAAGATCCACCCTGATGTCCACTCACCCCACTAGCGAGCGAGCAAGCAGACGGGGGCCCCCAACCGACCCTTCTAGCGGCTGAGCCACACACACTCTCTCCCTCTTCTCTTACTCACCTGCAGGACATTGCTTTCGGCTTCCTCCCCCGTGATCACTTCCACCTTCTCCAGGAGACACTTCCGGGCTGTGGCCTTTGTGTAAGCAGCCGCAGACTCGGCCAGCGACTCCGAAATATTATTCGCTGAAAGAAAGGGCAACAGCAAGGTCTTTGGCAAAATTAAAACAACTTCAAGATAATGGTAAAAGAACTACCAGTAGGAGCCCCGTAACCGCAGGATAGACAGGGTTTGCTATTATCCGCTGTTTTTAGCATCCACGAGGGAGACTTGGAACTTATTCCTTGTCGATATCATGGTCTTAACTAGTAAATATTTTTAAAAGAATCCAATTAAATTGAATTTTAAAAAGACATCTTAAACCAATGTATAAAAAACCCCACAAACCAGGCCTTTGTCAGCATGGCTATCCCATACATGGGTGATGAATCCCCCCGTTTTCAGTTGGACCAAAACACAGCCAGGCGTGGGCATCATCTAGGGCCTCACATCCTTCACAACCTAACTTATATTTGGCCAGTAAGGGATGGAATACCCCAGAATAGCTCAAATTCTCTTGTGTCGCTGATGTTTCTCCTTTAAAGTGGGGCAAGAAACATGTCTGGTAGTCCCAGGTTTTTTTTTTATCAAGCTTGGTTATGGGGATAAAAGGGAGCACCACGATAAATGAAACACGATCTAGGTGGGCACATCCCCAACACAAGCCATCGGGTGTTATCTATAAGAACTGACAGGCTACAAGCAGTTGAACCCAGCAAAAGCAGCACCGCAGGCCACATATTCCGATAAGAACAAGCACATTCTGCCAATCCAGTGACCACAGCAATAACGATATCAGTCCACTGAAGATTCTTCCAGGCCACCATCTAATAAGAAGTGGAAAATTCTGAAGATCAAAGGGCAAGTCCTCTGCATTTTACCTTTCTCGGGAGTGGCTTCCTGCGAAGATGATTCGGAGCCAGAATCGCCCGCGGCGTTCTCCTTGTTGCTGTCGGTGCCTGCGTCACTGGATTTGGGCGGACTCTGCAGGAGGAGGAGGAGAAGGAAAAGAGGAGTAAAGTGAGCGCCCCAAACCTCCATGGAAGCTCCAGTCTCAAGAGGGCATTTCAAGGAGTCCTGCCTGGCTAGAAGGAACAGAACCCACGTACAGTATGTATTTCCAGGCAGCGGATAAGTGAATCAGCCACGGATAAGGGGTGTGTGTCCTACTGCATATACTCCTTGACACGCAGGTACTTGTGCCAAAAGAGCCAGAGAGAAGGGAGGACATGCTAAGAGCCAGGCCACAACGCTTCCTGACCTCACCCTCCTTTGACACCCAAACAAACTCCGCATGGATCAAGAACCCAGTTAGGTTCTTAAGCTGACGGAGTTCGGCCAAAGAAGGAAGATACCAAAGGAGAACCCCCTCCCAAGAAGAGTGGAGAGACCTCCTCTGAGCTTACCAAGACTCTCTCGCTCATGTTCTGCCCAAATACGAACTTGTTGCCCGAGGCCTCGGCGCTGTGCGTAGAGTTCTCTAGGCTGGGGAGGGCGAAAGAATGCTTTTTTTTAATTCAGAAAGAACGCACTGCGGATCTGCTGGGACTAAAAGGCTGGACAGTCTGAACAAAGGCAAAGGAATGCCCACCCTGCAGCCAGCCCGGCTCTCTCCAGAGACCCCAACCTGGACTTCTGGGTCACCCCTCCTCCCCCATAAGACTGGTTCGGTGCCTTCCCAGATGGTGTTAAGGGATTCCCGCTCTCTAAAGGATCAAAATGCACTTTTCTAAGCCCTAAAAAGACTCTTTCCTTAAGGGAACGGGGCCCAGCCCTTCCGCCCTCACCTGTCCCCAGAGCTCAGCGCTGTGAAAACGTCTCTGAACTGGAATACGACCCTCAGGGTGCAGAGGCTCTTGACCTGAGGAATCTGGTCAAGGGCCAAAATGCCCAGGAGCAGCCCTTACCTGGAGCTGATGTACTGCAGGAAGTAATTTGTCGCCGACGGGGTCTCGGAACTCTGGAGTCGGGCATTCTGGACGTCCGCGGCTTCGTCCCCTTCGTCTCCTAGCTGGGACAAGACAGGCGGCGCTGAGAAGCAAAGATGAGCGAGAGCGCCCAGGACGACCAACAGGCACAAACCCCTGAAAAGGGGCCTGTTAGTGAGCGGGGCAAGGGGGGCACGGCCCACGGAGACCACAAAAGGTCTATGTCCAGCCCCTTGGGAGCCTTTGCGAGACAACAGGGACCCTTTTTCAGGGCCTGCCAGCTTCTCCTCGGTTCTCCATGACATTTTGGGGCAAACAGACTGAGGCTCGGCGGCTTAAAGAGGGAAGAGAGGATTTGCCACACATAACGAAGACGGGCTTGAATAGAGGGGGCCTTCCCTGTCAAGACTGAAAGGGGTGGCAAATCTCTTTCCAAACTCTAGAGCCTCGGGGATCCCTGTGATTCCTTACCAACTGCATGACATCAAATAACAATTCTAGAGAGAAGGCGTGAACATTTTTTTTAAAAAATGTGAATTTGGAGAACGCACACGAGGTCATGCAACTTAAAAAATGTTTTCAGGGGGACGGGATCCAAGCCGCCTGGCCTCAGACTTTAAAAAATCCTTTTAAAAAGCCCAGGATCACACGATGATGGGGATTTCCAGGATGATGAACTAAGAAAGCAAGCGCAGATTGTAGGCCAAGGTCGGCGCCTGGCCCAAAAGCCAAGGATCTGCGATTCCACTTTTAACACAGCCCAGGCACCGGATAAGTAGATCACGCTGGATCAATACCTTCACTCGATCTCTCAGGTTCTGCCCAAAGACAAAGGACTGTTGCGTGTTCTGGTCCGTTTTTTCACATTTCTCGGTCTCTGAAGTGCTGTTGGAGTCATTTCTTGGGCACGGCTTCTCCTAAAGGAAAGGGAGAAGGAAAAAAAGAAACCGGAACTATAAGAAAGGGAGGCCAGCCACTTCAAGACGGTCTGCCTCTGTCTGAAGCACAGAGCGGACACTTCCAACTGAACGGCCTGCCTGTCACAAGCTTTAAGCTGTACAACAGCAGCGTGGGATCATGTAGTGGAGATGCATTATTATTTTTTAAAGCCCCTTTCCATTGCAGAATTAAAAGCAGTTTGGAAAGCCAAAAGAAGCTAACCACCACCAACCCCTTCTCCGCCTCCCCCGTTGGCTCCTCAGAGGAGGGGCAGCTGACTCACCTTTTCCTCTGAATCCGGGCTTTTCGGTGTGGCATTAGCGGTGGGTTCAGATGCTGTCCCTGCAGGGTCCGGAAGCTTACTTACGCCATTGGTGCCGCTGCTTGGAACTGCAAGGAGAAGCAACCAGCTAACGGTCATGTCCTTGTCTAAAAACTCTTCCGTTCTCGGTCCTTATTCTATTTTCTTCCCATAGGAAATCAACACCAACCTCATCCTCATCATCTTAAAGCTGGAAGGGACCCTCTGGTTCATCCGAGTCTGGCCCTTGTCAAACGGGCAAGGAGGGAGAGAATCGAACTCCCAACGTCTGGCTCTGCAGCCAGAGGCTTAAACCAATGATTTGAACCCTGTTCTCCTGAGCCCTAGCCTCTCGCTCTCTCCATAAAAGCACCAGAAAGGGCATCGCGCTGGCACCCAAGGACCGTTCCCAGAGGAGTGGCGGGGATCCAAAAGGCAGGGGCAGTGGCTCCAGGAGGTCTACTTGGTTGGAAAGGGAAAGCTGTGGGCGCGCCCCCCCCAGCCGCCATCGTTTTGCCCAGGTCTCCCAGCCCCTGGGAGGTGGGACATGCGATTGGGAGCAGCCCACTTGCCTGTTTGAGGGAAAGCTTTCGGCTGGGGGGCCTGGAGGACCGCTGGGCGCAGGACGCTCCGCTGCTGCTCCTTTGGCTTCTGGCTGGGAACCCCTGGGAACGGAAGGAAGGTCTGAGGGATCAGGCCTCGCCTGGCCCTCTACGGCGCACAGAGCCTTTTTCCATGCCCGCCAGAATCCTCCGCATAAGGAAGGGCCCACCTAACCAACCCCACGCCTCTGCTTGGAAGGAAGTTACACTCCCTCCACAGCCGCTGGGCAAAGCAACTCAAAGCCCTTCCCATTGAGCTGCTCAGATTCTGCTCGGATGCAAAACGTTTCCGCAGCAAAGGCCAAGGAAAACACAGATGTGCCCAACCACGAGTTAAAGGCGCATTCTATTGCGGCTGTGAGGCTTTTCCCTCCAGACACACAATGCCTTCAAAGCTTCTGACCAGACTCGGAAATGAAGCTCATATTTTCCCTCCCGACGGCAACCGCAAACAAAAGCCAGCTCCTTGGCCCCTGTGCTGATCGAGGCAAACTCCTGCGAGAGGAGCACCAGTCCTTAAAATGTTTTGTCAACTTCTGCTCGCAAAAAGCCCCCTTTGGAAGAGTGTCTTCTGCTGCTCTGAGGGAAGTCTCAGCACGGCAAGCCCCGAGAAACAGGAGCCAGACCCAGCCGGGGAAGGGTTCTAACAGTGTCGAGGAGCACCCTGGGAGCAGGCGATGGCATTCACGGGATGCCTCGGTGGGAGAACCGCATCAGACAGATCTACAGCGAAGGCTGAACCTCCGCTTTGGCCCCAGCCCCGAAGACAACAGAACGCCTCTTACCTGCGCTGGGGGCCTGGCCGTGGATGAGGGTGGGAGGCTTCAGTCGGAACCCGGTGCTCTTTTCCTCTGGAATTCAGGAAGGAAAAGAAAGGTCAGCCTTCGGGGCGAAAGCGGCAGGCGATGAATACAGTTTGCAGGCAGCTGCGGCGATCCAGCCAGTCTGAGCTACTGGCCCGCCTTGCCCGGCCCTGCCTGCTCAGACAGAGAACGGCTTTTCCAGAGGATCCAAAATAGGGTTCTGAGTTGGTTTGTTTTGGTTTTTGGGGGGTGGGACATTCTTCCATTTCCAGGCAGGCAAACCAGTAATACCCCGGAGGGAGAAAGCACTGACCCAGTGGGAGAGGACCCAGAGTTTGGAAAAGATGCTCAGAGCGACAGCAGGCCATGGGGACGAGAAGGAAACAGGCCTTGCTTGCAGGCTGACAAGACGCCGGACGCTTGCCGTTCTCCGAGGCGTCTATTATGGGGTGGGGCTCTGCGAAGCAGATGGGCAGGAGGGGGACCCGCTCACCTGGTTCTGAGTCTGAGTTCCCTGCGGAGGTTTCGCAGAAGCTTGAGGGCATGAAGACATTGTTCTTTGTCACTGCTGCTGAGTAGAGGAACAGAGGGGGGAGAGAATGAGGGCATAAGGGTCGATACGGGGGGGGGCCCTCCGCCTCAGAGAAATGTCCTCACCCCCCCCACACACACACACAAGGAATCAGCAGCTGGCTGGATCGCTCAGGAATTGCGATCTCCGGCTGTGGAGCCAGAAGTTGGGAGTTCGAATCTCCCCCGGGCCTCCCCGGAGAAGAGCCTGCCTGGGTGTCCTTGGACAAAAGCTACACATGCTTAGGATGCCCCTAGAAGAAGAAAAGGGGAAAATGCTTCTGGGTGTATTCTCTACCTAGAAGACCCCAAAAAAGGTTGCCGTAAGTCAGAATAACTTGACAGCAAGGAATCGGTTCAAGGCAGAACAACGATGGACAAGAGGCCCAGGTGTCATGAATCGGTTCAAGGCAGAACAACGATGGAGAAGAGGCCCAGGTGTCATCTCTGTCTCTCTCTCTCTGGAACAGTGATAGCACATGCAGTCCCCAGGTGTCCTCTCTCTCTCTCTCTCTCTGGAACAGTGACAGCTCATGCAGTTGAGGAAGCCAGGTGTTTTTACCTGGCTGGGAAGGCGGGAACTGTGTTAGCGAGGAGGTCCTTTCCCGCTTCACCGGAGGACAGTAGCTCCCGTCTTCTCGGTCCGACTCTGCCGAGAAAGGGGGAACGGAAAGGAGAGGTAGTTAAGAACCAGCAGCTCTCTCTCTCTCTCTCTCTGGAACAGTGACAGCTCATGCAGTTGAGGAAGCCAGGTGTTTTTACCTGGCTGGGAAGGCGGGAACTGTGTTAGCGAGGAGGTCCTTTCCCGCTTCACCGGAGGACAGTAGCTCCCGTCTTCTCGGTCCGACTCTGCCGAGAAAGGGGGAACGGAAAGGAGAGGTAGTTAAGAACCAGCAGGGTGTGCCAACGTAAGGGGGGGCTCTTTTGGATTTCCACTCCCAGACTCCGGACACCGTGGCCGAAAGAAGAAAAGGAAAGAAGGAACAGCCACAGGTGTATGGTTCTGACCAGTTTACCCAGCTGCGCCTCTCTATGGATGATGGGCCCTTTCAAGATCGCGTAACTCCCCCCCACCCGCCTGGCCGCCCTGCTGATTCTTTAACTGGCACTAGACAGATCTTCCAATTGAGGATGCCTTCGCAAAAAGGATGCTCTGCTTGCAGTCCTTCAAACGAGAACTGCCCTCAGTTAAAAAAGAATCTATGGCTCCTCTGGAACAAGAACAATGGCCATGAAAGCTAACAGATCCTCCAGATTCAGAGGCACTCCACCCAGCAACTGCGCCGATAGGCAAGGAAACGACCCACATTGAACTTAAGATGCTGAAGACGCATAATGAAGAAGTGCTCCTTGTGGGCATTATAAGTTCTGATTCCATAAGAATCAAAAAGGAAAAGGGGGGGGGGAGAAAAACTTTAATTCAGGAGGACTCCAAGGTGTGAATGTGAGCTCTCTCTCACCTTCCCCATCTTCCGGACTCGACCCATCTGCCGACCTCTGAAACACAAATATATTTGTAGACGTTAAAATTAGATGGCATTGCAAATAAAAAGAGAGTTAGTTAGCAATTCTGCAGATGTGTTGATTAGCACACCAGGCCTAATGGGAAGAGAACCCATCCTGGCCTCGGTTTTGAAAATCTAAAAGGGATGAGGCGAGGAAGAAATGAAACGTACTGTTTGGGGCATATCATTGCTAACAACAGCAACAGTATCAACAACAACAACAATGCAGAGATGATTGATCAGGACCTTTTTGCTGGGTGACACCATGCAATCTGTAAAATGGCCAGACTGAACCATACGAGAACCAGCCCTTGGGGGGATCCAAGAGCTGCACCACCCCCACCACCCCTGGCAGCACGCAGTGGCCCGCCGCCCGGTGAGCAGCCTCTCCCTCTCCCTGGGGCTCCATGCCTGATTCCGGGACCCCTCTCAGCTCTGCAAAGGACTGGGTGCAAAGGAGAACAAACGCCCTTCTGTGCGAGGCAGCAGAAGGAGGGAGCAAGGTCTGATGGAGGTGGGTTGTGCGGGGGGGAGGGGGAGGTAGCAGGGGGCATATATCCTTTTTCCTAACCCTCTTCATCAACATCTCTGCAAAAAACCCAAGCCAAACCAAACCCTGCCTGGTCCTGCCTCTTCTCCCCCTGCCTCAAGGAATCCCTGGCCGCCTGGGCCCTGGCACGTGTCTCGGGTTTGGGCTCTGTTCACCTCTGCGGCAAGGACGCCGTCCACAGACACCCCTGCTGAGAGCGGCCAGATGAAGCGAGGCCTGTCGGAGGCCTCTTCTGGAATGCTCCTGCAGAGAGCGGGCACTGGGCATGGAGGCCGGCCCCCGGAGCCCCTCGCAAGCCTCGAAAACACCGCTTTCTGACTCAAGTGCCCCGCATGGTAGGAACGAAAGACTGAATTGAAACGGCGGTCCCTGGGGAAGGATGTCCTGTGGGAGAAGACCAAAAGGAAGACCCTCCCCTCCAACGCTGGGTTCACATGGTGGCTTATCCCACAGCCCCACCACCGGGGGGGGGGGGGGGAAAGGGTGGTCCACACACCCTCTCCCTCGCATTCCCCAGCTGGTTCTGGGGCCTACAGGGAGCCCCCACAATCAGCAGCCTTTGGTCCCATCCCTTTTATAGACACCAAGTTGGCTTTAAAGCCAACCCGTATGTCCTGGGCCAGGGGAGTCACATTGTTTGGGAGCACTCCCCCTAGGTCTTTCCTTAATTTCCCACCCCCTCTGGTTTAGGGCCCCGCGGCCTACTTCAGTCATGATGAGAAGGAGAAGAAGCTACCCTTCGCTCTTTTCTCTGCAGCGAGCACAAAGTTTACACACCTCTGTCAGGTCTGCCGTACTTGCTCGTATTTTTATAAAGGAGACAGGCCCGAACCTTGCTAATTTCCTTTGAAGGGGAGCAGCCCCAGTTCCTGGATCACTGGGGGTCCCCTTTCTCACCTCTCCCTTCCTCTTCTCTGGCGGCCATGACCGGAACCCCTTGGTTCTCCACGTTCCAAGATTCTTAAAGGCATTGTGACGCAGGCGATGTTGCTCCCTGCACTATTCTTTCCTTAATTCTGCCCAGTATGTGCTGCCTCTTTTAACAGCAGGGTTGACCTTTTGCGCCCTGGAGAGTAAAGCTCTTCACCCACAACCCCAAGACTTCGAACCCAGTCAGTCATTCCCACGGCCAGCTCTGATCTCATCAGAGTCAAGTGGAAGCTGTCACTGGACTCCCACCGTGGATCCTTTAAAAAGGATCTATCTGAGGCTCTGCTTCTAGCAGGCGGGAGACACCTCTCAAATAAGCAGGGGCCCCTGATCTGTGGGATCTGTATTCACGGGTTCACTCATCCAGGGGATGAAAACATCAAAAATATTAAAAAGACAAATTCCCAAAATATATTCGGCTAACAAGGAAGTCACCAGAACTGGCCACTAGAGAGGGTGGCAGAGACCATGTTAGGTAGAGCTTTTGCTAGAATCCACGTTTTTCAGCATCTGTGGGGTGGGGAGCTTGGAAGTGAAGGCAGGAGGAGAAGGGGACGACAGAGGACAAGATGGTTGGACAGAGTCACCGAAGCGACCAACATGAATTTGACCCAACTCCGGGAGGCCGTGGAAGAAAGCAGGGCCTGGCATGCTCTGGTCCGCGGGGTCACGAAGAGTCGGACACAACTAAACGACTAAACAACAACAAACATGCGGCAGCACAGACTCCACTGCGCGTTGCCATCCTCCTCTGTTTGCCTCTGGGCTGGGCTCCCGTGGCAAAGGAGGGCTTAGCAGAGGTACTGATCCAACTTCCCCGATGACACAGGGCACTCCTGGAGGGGCCTCTGTCATTCCCCTCCCTCCACAATGCCTGGGGCCACCAGCTTCACCCTTAATTTTACCAGAACCAGCACATATGAATGCTTACCAAATATAGAACACCCCGCTGAAAATGAAAACATGGCCTGTGCTTCCCCCTCAGGGCAGTCCGTTTTACGCTACGCGAGACGGGAGCAGAGCTCGCTGCCAACTCGTTTAGGGCTTGGGAGGAAAGAAAGGCTTCCAACACCTTTTGTGATCAGCACCAAGTTCTCCTCTCTGGCCTGCTAAGCTGGCCTCAAGTTTAAACCCCGGACACTTAAAGAGAAGGGCAGCTGTGCATCCATAATCATACAGCCGTTCCTGGTAAAGGAGCTTTTCCCCAGATCCGTGAGGTTCTAACATTCTAGGCCTTGATGCCAACTGCTGAAACAGATGAGTATTTTTCCTTGCAAAATGGGCTACCTTTAATAGAGAGAAGCAGAACAGCCCCTCCTTATGCATCACATCCAGCAAATGTTGTTTAGCCCTGAATGACTGCTTCCCTCTCTCCGTGCTTGGTCTGCTTTCTCTCCTGCCCCTTTCATCAGCTCACGTTTCAGAGTCGGCAGTGAGAAGAAGACAGCTCGGTGCTGGGGGCTGATGCAATAACAACAAACGAGGGTTTGAAGAAACCAGAGTTTGTAACCAACAACACACCGCGGCTTTAGGTGGCTGTTTGCAGGTGATGAACATAGCAGAGCTGGATCAACGCGGACCCAACAAGCAGAAACTCAACAGACTCCAACCTGGATGTCCCCCGTGAGTGAACTCAGCCAGCGCGGAAAGACCTACCCGGTGGACCTCCAGCAGGAGGGAAGATGGCCGTACAGACCTTCCCCTCAAAGCAAATGCCTGCAAAACCGACTCCCTGTCACGCACATCATCTTAACTGATCACCTGTTAGCATCCCTGGTGACTTGTTGCAGGAGTAACTCAAGGAAAAGTCAGGTGGAGACTGTTTTAAACCCCCCCCCCAAAAAAACCAGATCCTTGACAATCACTGTGATTAATCAAAAAGTGATGTTTTCAACAAAGCAAACACAGGACACTAAACTCAAGCTGCCACACTCCTCGGCCCACATATCCCGCGGGGGGGGTGTAACACCACAAAGTGTAACACTTCTCTCAACAGCAAAAAAATAAGAGCCATAATCCATCTCCATTACACAATTAGGGCTGCAATGCAATCATATTTTAAGGGATCGATCCTACAGGTTTCTCAATAAATTGATCCATCTCTTGGTTATGTGAGAAAATGGGCGGGACTGATCCTTCGGAGAACGAGACGCCTGGGTCCTTTTCAGGCAAGGCGGGAACATTAAAGGGGGCAAGAGTCCTGAAAGAGGCTTTCCCCTTCAACTGTTTATAAATGTAGTGTTTAACAGAACACTCCTTAGAAATCTGCTTCTCAATCACAGGGGACATGTCTCAGATGGCAGCTGAAGGGCTGCAGCTCGGCAGGAGCCGAAGGAAATCTCTTCTGGTTGAACTAAAAAAAAACGCTTGTTCCGTCTGAACTCCCCACACCAACCGCTTTACAGGCTGACTTGGGGTAAAGGAGCTTCACAAACATTTCTCAAGGGAACCGATGAACAGGACCCCTGAATCCTACCAAGAAGCGCTACTCGTGCTTCCATCCTCTACTACATCTTGGTATATCTTGTAAGCCAGCTCAAGAAAGGGGCAAAGGGTGAATTTATTGATACACTAAGGCATAACGGGGCCTCCTGAATCTCTCACTTATGCCTGCTTAGGCAGTCCCGCTGTTTCCCAACACTGCTGCCATACTCAGGATCCCTCTCAGTTACAGTATATTCAGATGGGATGTGGTGTGGCAGAATCACCAATTAAGGGTGGCTACGCTTCCATGAGCATCAGTCCCATGCGTGGCAGTAGAAGGTATGTCCCAGGATGCACCGCACCATCCGATGGAACTGAAGCGGGATCCTAGAAGGCTTCCTGGTGAAACATGGATCTCCCTGTAAGAAGGAATTGGAGGAACCCCACTTTCTAGCCTATCCTGTGTGAGCGTCAGCCTCATCCTCCTCTAGCCTTCTCCTCCTGGTAAGAACGACCTGTCCAACGCCCACAGCTAGAACCAAGGAGCCCCGCCATGCAGGGCCCTCCTTACCTTCTGTGCTTTCTCCTTCTGAAACACGAAGACAGGAGGCGCAATCGCAGGCTTTTCTGGAAAGAGAAAGAAGAGAACTGCATACATTTGCATTTCCTAACACCCAGGCACAGTGTGTGCCGTTTTCTTCCAAATCTATTTGGAAAGGAGCAATTCCCAAGCCAAGGACCACGCATCCCGCCCAAGGATTCCATTCAAGAGACAAAGCCGTTCCGAGAGACAAGTCAGCTAGCAAATGCATGAAACAAAGGGCTTCGCAATGGTCCAAAGCCACAATGGGTAATGAATCCTGCTTGCGATGATGTGTGGAATCGCAAGCCACTGTCCCCATGCCTCAGTTTTAATATGACCTCCTCAGGCTCACGCTGTCTGACATCGTTTCTCTGAATTGCCTATGTCACTTTGCAAGGGCAGATACACAGAAAACAAGGGAGCCAAACATAGAAAATTAAACAACAGTACAGGATCTCGCCTCCTTGGGAGGACCAGAGAGGGTTTTGAGCTTCCCAGATCAAAAAAGCATGGATGAATGGCCAACCCGTTGGAAAATAAAGAGGGCTCAACTTTATTTCAATATTTATTTAGAAGATTTTTACTCCATCTTTTCCCTTAAAAGGACCCAAGGCAAGGACAAAAATATTCTGAACTTATGCAGCCAGCACCCAGAGACTGGCATGCTTTCTCCTGCTGGCTGATAAGCACTCAAAGAGCTTCCAAGCAAAACCGGCGTTCACCCTCCTGCCCTTCTGGCTACTGTGGTACCTCCGCACCCAGAATCAGTCTCAGTCTCTCTCTCTCAGTGCCAAATGCCCCAGACAGAACAGATCTTGGTAGAAAATATGTTGACTCAGGAGCCGTTTGGCCTAAGAACCAAATATCAGGTGTACTGGGCTCCTACAGCAATAAGGATCTGACCAGAGTGGGCAAATAGGGTGAGGATTAACCCTAAAAAAACATATCCACTGGGGGAGGGTGGGGGGAGGGCAAACGAAGGTTAATCAGCAGCTCCCATTCATAGACGTCACTGCTACAACCATCACATGACAGGCTGTGTGCGTGTTTGTGCGGGGAACCACTTGCACAGATCAGCTGCAGAAAGGAAGCATTGGCTGAGGAGGGAGGGAAGCTAATCCCAGCAAGTCACCCCAGCAGAGGGACCACTGGCTTCAAAGCACATCAACCATCACCCTGCCTCCCCCCCCCCCCCCCGTGGCTTCCTTCGGACATAGGCCAAGGGGCTCCTTGTGTGCCTTCAGAGCAATTAGGAGCACTTATCCAAATCTAATTTTCCTCTTGCAACACAGGCTTTCTAGGCCAGGCGATTTGTAAAAAGGGGAAACTGAGTATCCAACGGGACACAGGTTTTTAAGAGAAACAATATCACAACTCCTGTGAAGCTGGCACTCCTGGCCATGTCTCAGAGAGGGCTTCGGCCTCATACGTGAACCACACTGAACCCATTTAGTTCTGAATGCACAGACTTTGAGCCATTCTGATGCGGCTGCATTCTTCTATGAAACACACAGAGATAGATACAGACAGACAGACAGAAGTCTCTCTGATTTTCCAGACTGCGCCGGGAGCTCCTTTTTATGTCCTTGCAGCAGATCGGAGACACAAAAAGCTAAGTGAACCCGCTTGGAGGAATTTATCCGAGCACTGCAGAGGAATACGAGGAGCACTTCCAGTGTCGTGGCTTGACAAGGAACGAGGAGGCAGAGAGAACACGAAACTCTGCACATCCTTCAAGGTACTCTCGTGGCCATTACTGGCACGTGCAGCTAAAGAAGAAGATGCCTTGGCTCCTTTTTAACATCAATACAGAGCCAGCACATCTGCAGGGGCTTCTTCGCTCTCCCTCCCTACACTCAGAATACAGGAGTAAGTGGAAGGAGGCCCCCTCTCCCTGTTTCTGGCCAGCTCTCCCAGAGTCAACCAAGGGGCTAAACCAGGGGTTTCCCAACCTTGGCTTCCCAGATGTTCTTGGACTAAAACTCCCAGAAACACCTGGGGCAGCACAATGAGTGGAGGCTTTTGGGAGTTGTAGTCCAAGAACACCTGGGGGGCCCTCAAAGGTTGGGGGAGAACCCTGGGCTGAGCCTTTCTCAGCCACACCGGCTCGCTGCTTTCTCCAGCCCTCTCCTCTCTCTCTCTGCCCATGCTCAGAGGCTCTCTGGACTCCTCGCCAGGGAGGTTTAAGGGAAGAGACCTGCAGAAAGAAAGTGAGAAAGGAAGACACCCCCCCTCACTGCGGATTCGGGGCCAAGGCCTCCCTCCCTGCTTGATCCGGCCTGCCTCTCCCAGGGCCCACCTCCTGGGCACTCCACCCATGCTCAGAGGCACAGACGCCTTTCTTGAAGCCTTGGGTCACCAAACCCCTCCATCCGCTCATGAACGATTAGAGACACCGGGGCGGGGCGGGAGAGGGGGAGAAGAGAGGCGCTCCTCTTCCTTTCTCCTCCTCCTCCCCGCCCTCTGCCCATGCTCAGAGGAACGCCCCGCAAGCCAACCGGCAGCCAGAGGGAGGGAAGGCGGGGCGGGGGAGGGAGAGGTTGCGATGTGTGTGGGGGCGCGCGCTCTGCCCATGCTCACAGGCACCCTCGCCTCCCTTTTGTC